AGAAAGGGGGGACCGATCATCATGATCTATATATAACCCCCTCCCTGGGAGATGGTCAAAAGAAAATGGGTGAAGGGAGACAGTTGCTTGTTAAGACGTGCAAAACAAACCCCATAATAATTTATAAATTATCAAGGGTTCATGAGGGAGGGAGGATGGGGGAAGGAGGGAAAAATGAGGAGCTGATACCAAGGGCTCAAGTAGAAAGAGTTTTGAAAATGATGGCAACCAATGTACAAATGTGCTTGCCATAATGGATGGATGGATGGATTGTGGTAAGAGCTGCATGAGTGCCCAGTAAAATGATTTAAAAAAAGAAAAGAAAAGATCACAGGTTCTTTGTGAAAGGAAAGTAAAACATTAACCCAATGAACATTCAGATAGCGTCTATATTCTTAGAATTGTATCACTTACATCTTAGTGAACAGTGATTGTTGACAAAGAAGATGGGAAAGGGATTCGGGCACAGAAGTGTCTTTTTGGAGCACCTTCTTGCCAGCTCCAAATGTTCTTCAAGAAAATCGAACTCATCCTCTATCCCCCTCCCTCTCGCCATTGGAGCTGGCAGGCTGGGATTCAGTCTGAGATAAGCCGTATCATAAAGGTCCAACGTCCTCTTGTTACTCCTGGTTCACGCTGACTTATGTGGAGCTGGGGGCTGGGCTGAGTTTAAAGTCTGAGATGGTGTGTGGAGCAATAACCTTGCACTTCTAGCCACTCCTATTCGAGAAATTTCCTGAATTAAATGCTCCTGGATGGCAGGGCTCATGTCTCAATTCATGTCTCTTTGCCTCCGAGTGCTGTGATTGAAAACGTCAAGGCGTCGTTGGGAAATCATTAACTGGATAGCACAACATCATGTGATGGGTGGTGAGGTCAGAGAGAAGGATGGGCCATGGGAGGCAAAGCGAAGAGTTTTAGGTAGAGGAACACCATGAATTCAATGACAAGGGTCTTCAGCCATAGTCTTTGTAACCTCACAAAAGGAAAAGGTGGAGCTGTGCATGCTTGATGTACTTGGAGCCCATCAAGGGGACCGGATAGCTTGCTAACTAATATAGTGTAAAGAAGGTACATGGTATCCTGCTGGTGTGGGATCAAAGCTTCACTATCTCTGGTAGGCCTCACATGAGCATGTCAGAGGTTAAAGGAGGATCTCACTGCCATGAAGAAAGAAGACCCAGGAGTGAAGCTCCTCCTCGGGACTCAATACCCCTGCCCTGAACCTCCTTAACCCAGGAGACAGAGAGTTAAGATGCCAGAGACAGTGAAAAGCAGAGGCAGACAACTGGTGGCAGCTCAGGAAACAGGCAGCGGAACTAAGAGTGTGAGACTGCGTGGTGAGCTTCCCTGCCCGTGGAGTGAGAGGGCAGAGTGCGTCGGGCAGGAAGCTTGCTGTCAGAGTGGGTTGCCTTTGGCATTTACTGGCAGAACTACACGAGCTTTGTAACACTTTCCTAAACAGGGTAGTGGCCCAGGTGCTGAGAGAGGCTGATGACCTGGGTGGACTTTCAGGTACTATTGAGAGTAGGTGGTTCTCATTAAAGACTGTATCTTGAACCTTGCTCATCCTGAATTGTAACCTGTTCTTGAAAAAACAAAGAACAACTGCCATGAAGTCAATACGGATTCATAGTGACTCCCCGTGAGTTTCCAAGGCCGTAACTGCTTATGGGAGTAGAGAGCCCAGACTTTCTCTGGTGGGGCTGTTGGTGGTTTTGAACTGCTGACCTTGTGGATTAAAGCCCAAGGCATAACCACTATGCCACCCAGGCCCAAGCTATTACTTCCTTATAATAAACCCACAACAGTGAGTAAGGTCTATGAGTTCTCCGTGGCCATTACAACAAATTCTTAAACCCAGCAGTGAAGTCAAGGCTGTCAGAATTGGCAAAAAGATTGGAGGGGGGAGGCACGTCTGACCCCCTCCCTTGCCTCTTAGGAGTCAGCTTTGGATGGATGCTGTTGATGGTGATTCTCCTCCACCACCCAGGAGGGGAGACATCGTCCCAGGCTATTTTTGCAGGAACACTGCAGAGAAGTTTCGGGAGAGCCGTACCGTAAGCGACTTGAGGTGCTGATGAGCATGGGATGGAGCACGATGGGAGGAGGTCAGGGTAGAGGTGAGGCAAGGAGACCTACGAGAAGGTCATTGGCTGGAGGGAGGCACTCTCTGTGGGGATGGATAAAAGGAAGAGATGGGACTTCCGGATAGGTTGGCAGAGACTGGGAGTGAGAGCAACGACTCAAGAGTGAAGTCAAGTTCGGAGGGACACAATGAGATGGATGCAGAGTCCTATTTAGATGGGAAGCTGGAGGGAGAGAGGGGATGGGGGGGAAGACCCAGTCTTCCAAGGGCTTCTTTTAGAGAGCAAAGAATCTGTAGTCTGCTTCCAGGTAGAGAGAGAGAGAGAGAGAGAGAGAGAGAGAGAGAGAGAGAGAGAGAGAGAAAACAGAATAGTTGTACTTGGGTGATAGGTGGTTTAAAAAATATAATACTAAATTACACTACACACATTATGCATTAGTAACATATAAACTATAATGTAATAATATGTTAAATATTAACTACCAGTAGCAGAAAGGAAGGCCATGGTCGTGAAGCTGGTCATGGACACTCTTGATGTTCCTCGTGACTATTCCTCAGCTGGCCGATTGCAGGGAGGTCCTGGATCCTGTGAGGGCAAAGAAAAAGAGAAGAAGTCCCACTCGGGGTTGTTCAAAGGCTTGGGCTGCTTTCTGTTTCCCAAAGGGCATGGAACGGTTTCAGGTCAACAACCGGAACAGACAGATCTGTGCATAAAGCGCAGCACAGCAAGCAGACAGGCACTCTGTTGCTTTCTGATGGTGATAAAGACACTTTCCAGTTGACTTGAATTTGATGGTGATGCATGAGACCCCCTAGTTTCGAGAGGAGGGCCGATCTCCACAGTGCTTTTAAGGCTGTGACCCCGAGGAGGCAAGTGTCCAGGCCTGTCTTCCAAATGACCTCCGGTGGGATTAGACTTTTAACCTTTCCCATAGCAGGTGAACCCTTAACACCCCCACCCCCTTTTAAACTCTCCCGAACTGCGCTGTTTATTTTCTAAGACTCGAAGCCACTTGGCCCCGCAGTAGGTGCTGAATCGTTCCCGAGTCTGCACATTTGTGCGGCCCCATTTTCTTTTCCACGTCTCTGACCACCCTGCTTCCTCCTTAATCACAGGGGCAATGTTCCAGAGGGCAGGACAGAGTCCTCCTGGGCGGCTTTTGGAAGCTTTCACTTTCAGATGGTGGAAGAAGTCGGACAGGGGCGACTTCTACCTGGGAGCACTCTTTGGGGGCCCCATTGCTGGGGTCTCTGCAGCTATCTCTGCAACGTGGGCTGACCTTGCTTTCTCGGTTCTCCTGGGAATCACCTGCCTCTCAGAAATGGGAGACCCTGGGCCCACAGTGTCTGAGCCAGAACCAGGGACTTGTGCTCCCAGAGGCGCTAACGGCAGGTGCACTATCTGAGGGCAGATTTGGGATCTGAGGCCCTGCACCTTCTCAAAGTGCTGCATTTAGAGACACTGGAGGAAGACGCCGCGTTCAAAGCTGGAACCAGGCGAAGCAGGTGAGTCAGCGGCGCAGGGGCTAGTTAGTGTGCTATGGGCATAAGCCAGGGAGTAGCTACCTGTGGGGAGGGGGCGCAGAATCTATGTGTGTGTTGGGTCTGGTTAGACCAAAGACAACCAGAGAGAGGAATGGACCTTTATTCATTTCTTTTACAGATGTTCACGTAGCCCAATGAGGACTAGACTGTACACATCTGTGGCAGTAACTTTATAAAGACAAATTCATGTAATTCTCACTGTAACTCAGAATAGTGTGCAGGGTGGAATCGCTGATCCCCACTTTGTTGACGGTGACACCAAGACAGACGAGGTCAGGTTATTTGCCCAAGGTGGTCACGTAGTGAGCGGCTGAGTCCGACAGAGAGCCCAGAATGAAACCCACCAGAGTCTATGCTTCCTGGCCACGAGCTGGCGTCCTCACCCCACATGCAGCAGGTGGGTTAGGGTCCTTTATGACCAAGGCTTATTTTTCCTTCTTCACTGCCTGGTCTTCAACCAGCGCTCTTTGCCTCTCAGTCAGAAGTCTTTTTTTTTAATTTTTAAATTTAAATCATTTTATTGGGGGCTCATACAACTCATCACAATCCATACATACATCAATTGTATAAAGCACATTTGTACATTTGCTACCCTCATTATTCTTTTTTTTCTTTTTAAATTATTTTATTGAGGGCTCGTACAATTCTTATCACAGTCCATGCACACATCCATTGAGTCAAGCACATATGTACACCTGTTGCCCTCATCAATCTCAAAACATTTGCCCTCTACTTTAGCCCTCAATATCGTTTGCTCAGTCAGAAGTCTTGCCACAGAGAGAGGGCGGGTGGGGATTTGTGGTCAGCGAGGAGCTGACTGGTCACGGGTGGAAGCAGGAAGGTCTGGGCTGGATCGGAGGACAGGTGACCCAAAGGAGCATGTAACAGGGCAGGGGTGTGTGATGGGAGTCAGCGCCTTTCTGGGAATGCAGTCTCTGAGCATGACGCTTCTCAGGGGACTTCTTGGTGACAGGAGGACAGAATAAGCAGGCTGGGGGCTGTGTCAGAGGGAGACTTGGGAAGAGGAAACAGCTGTGTGCGTCCTGGAGATGAGAAAGTCTCCCCCAGGGGCACAGGTGTTGAGGGAGGAAGTCCTGGTGTCTGGGCAGGGAGGTGTAAGCGTGCGTTTTAGTAGGGTGGGAAGGGAAGGAGTGGTTTCTCCCAAACGGTGGTCTGCCACCACAGAATCACCTGAAATGGCTGGGAGATCCAGATTTTGTCTTTTCTCAGCAGCAGGGCTGTGTGTGGTTCGCCAGCTCGTTAGTATGACGTTCAAGGGGACAGGGTGAGCTGTGGGTAGGCTCCCTTGGGTCCTGTGGGCTCCTCTGATCCTGCATGTCATCCTCCTAGCTCTGAGGACATGGAGGGTCGTTCCAGTTTCTCATTGTGCTGCCATCTGAGCCTCCTGCTGCTCCTCCTCCAGCTGCCCGCATGGGGGTGCGCAGGTGAGTGTCCCTGCCCTCTACCCGCATGTCTCTCTGGTGTGTGGCATCCACAGGTGTACTGCTGGATGGAGAATGACAGAGACTCCGGCGGTTCTTAATAGAAGATTTACAATACTATACCCTAAAGTAATTCAAAATATAACATCAACAGACATATGTACACCCGTGTTTATGACAGCATATCTCCACCATAGCAAAACTATGGAAACAATCAAAATCCCCAATTTTAGAGGGATGAATCCACAAGCGCTGGTGCATTTCAACTATGGGTTTTATGCATCAAGAAAAACCAATGACAACTCTCTTAAATCCCATGAGTCGTGAGAAAAACTGGAGAACATTATGCTTAGCAAACTCAGTCAATCTTACTAAGATCATTATTTAATATCTCTATTGTTCTGAGCAAAAATAGAGAAGAAGAAATGTGGTTTATATACCACAAAACAAGACTAGGAAGAGGCCAGGCATGGGGGTGGGCAAAGGGAGCAGGGGTCGGGTGGGGCGGGGTGGACAACAATGGAGGGTTTAATAGGAAAAGTAAAAATTGTTCCATGAACAACAAATGGACAAGCAAACATTCCCCGCTCCAGCCTCCTCACCCTCTGAGGTCAAGTTGGGTGCGAGTGGCTGGGAAAGGAGGGACAGTCACACTGAGGTGGGCATGGAGTCTTCGGTAACACAGAGGTGCACTCCAGACATACGGAGAAAAGAGAGAGGGCATGTATGATGTTGTAGTTAAAAATTAAAAATCGAAACCAAGCCACCACAGCAAAACATAAGGGTGAAGTATTCTGTCAATTGCCCCATGATAAATTCTTTTATGTTTAGAAGAGCCAAATAGTCAAGATTTGAAAATACAATGGCATTTTCATTTCGCTGCTTTATGTAAGTCCTAAGCAAACATGCATAAGTAGAGTAACTCACTTTATTCCCCAAACATTCGTGTGTGTGTGTGTGTGTACTTTGTATTAGTTGTTAGTCTATGAACAGAACACACACACAGAGATTCTCTGTCTTCACAGAGACATCCCGTCTAGCAGGAGGCAGGGAACATTAAATGTGATACGTCAGAAATAGCTGTTGTTTGTTAGAGAAATTAGTGCTGTGGAATAATGAAGTAGACAGTAATAACAAACAGTGTTGGGAGGGGGTGGGAGAGAAAAAGCATGTGTAAGCTCACTTGGGCGATCAAGAAAGAGAGATGTAGGCTAGGACTTGGGGGTGGGAGAGGGGTCAGCCAGTGCAACGGGGACAGTGTGTTCAAGGAACAGCAAGAAGTGATTATCTTTTCATTAAAAAAGAAGAAAAGAAAAAGAAGTGATTATTATTTGGAGCATAGGAGGTGGGGAAAGGGGAGCAGGAGTTGAGGCTAGAGTGGTTCTGGGGACCAATTTCAAAGAGCCTGTGGGGCACTGGAGGGAACTGTGGGTTATTGGAGGGCTTTGAGCTGAGTGGGGCCCTGATATGGCTTGGGCTACTCATTCCATGGTCTACTCCGCATGTGGTGCAGACAACGAGCAGTGGGAGTAGGGTGAGGGTAGACGGGGAAGGCGGTGGGGCTGCTGTCCTCTGGGTGAGAGATGATGTGGTAGGGATCCAGAGTGTTTTGCTCAGCCATGCAGTCTAGCTGCAGCTCATCCACGCCTGCAGAATGAGGGTGACTGTGGGGTTCCCCTTCTTCCACAAGCTGTGCTTGAGGTTCTTGGGAGTTGTGGGAGCGAGGGCAGGTTTCCAACAGAAATAGCATCTGACTCTGTGTTTTCAATGAACATTGAATTCAGCAGGAGAAAGATGTGGCGTCCACAATGAAAGTTAAGAGAGGAGTGGAGCATTCCTGGGGTAGTTCACTGATCAGAGTTCAGACCTACATCTCTGGTGGTTTCTGGTCATTCTGCAGTCTTGTTCTGCAACGGGGTCAAGCTAACGCCGCAATTCCCAATGCACCATCCATGGACTCCTGTCCTTGTTAGCGGCCATATATTAGCCCCGGCCCACGTGAACGCATCAACAATGAGCCCAAAGGTATTCTAAGGATAGAATTCTACCATTACCCCGGGGATCTCAGTAGAAATGCACATTTTGGGCTTCCCCTGGATCTACTGAAATAGAAGTTTTGGGAGTGGGTTCCAGAGATCTGTTTCCCAATCCCTGGGTGATTCAAGTGGAACATTTGACTCTGTAGGTGCTTGGGGAGAATGAGGTGGCAGTTTGTTTCTGTGAAGATGTACAGCATTTGAGCCCCTACGGTCAATTCTACTCGGTCCTAGAGTCATTGTGAACCGAAATGGACTTGATGGAGACAAATTTAGGGGGACAGTTCTGATGCACACTTACGGTCAGGTACCACCTTGTTGGGGAGATTCTCGCATGGAAGGGCCTGGGACCAGGAGACCAGGCACATGAAGGAGACCCTTTGGCATCATTTCCAAGCCATGATGTTGTGCTCCGAACATTCCATCCCATTCAGCTTTCTGACAGCTATTTCTTCAGGAGCCCGGGTTAGTCTCCAGCCTCCCTGCCACTCTTTGTCTGCGTTTCTCCAAGGTTGTCACTCTCGTGTTTGTATCCACAGAGGAGTTCCTGGTGATTGGCCCCAAGGACCCCATCGTGGCAGTGCTGGGCAGGGACACCATACTACCCTGCTCCCTGGCCTCGCCCATGAGTGTGGAGAACATGGAGCTGCGGTGGTTTCGATCCAAGTTCTCAGAAGCCGTGTTTGTCTATCAGAACCGGCGGGAGCAGAGGGAAGAGCAGATGCCGGAGTACACAGGGCGGACCTCGCTGGTGAGGGACTTCCTCACCCAGGGGCAGGCTGCTGTGTGCATCCACAAGGTGCGGGCTTCTGATGACGGGCAGTACACCTGCTTCTTCAAGAAGGGAGACTTCTATGAAGAGGCCACTCTGGAGGTGAAGGTGGCAGGTTCGTGACGTGGTCTATATGTTCTAGAGTCCTGGAGGGTTGGAGTCTGGAGCTACCTCAGGGATGACTGACTTGAACCCCGAGAAAAGGAGACTCATTAAATCTTTCCTTCAATGTAAATGATATAGAACCCCAGTTCAGTATTAGAGCGTGCTCTAGGTGCCTAAGGTATCTCCATGAACCAAACAGAGATCGCTGTCCTGTGGAGTTCATGTTCTAAATGACAGGAAAGTCACACTAGAGAAATAGGTCATAGATGGTGTGAGCCGGTGATCAGTTCTGAGGATACGTGGGAAAACAGACCGTGGGAGAGAGACCAGGATGTGAGGGCGGGCCCGTGGAATGGGGCCTGGGAGGACGGGCTGGCTAAGCAACGGCTGGAAGAAAGTAGAGACGGAGGGAAGTGTCTAGCTGCTGGATGAGAATTACACACAGATCCAGTGCAAGTTCCTTGGTGAGAGCGGTGGGTTAGTTATAGGGACACCTTAAGGTTGGTGGCAGTGAACGAAGGACAGTACCGTATGAGGGGTCAACACTGGGCAACACCTCTTCCTGCTTTAGGCTACACGGTGGGGGTGAGTTTGACTACTGTTACCTGAAGTGATAAAAAGTGTTCTCTGGGGAGTGGATACATAGCTGGCACTTGAGTTCAACAGGCAAGGCCAAGGTTGAGGGACAGACTACTGTACACACAAAGCACTGGGTGGCTAATAACAATTCATCAGTTAAGCCTTGAGGGATAGAGTAGGTGGTTCCTGAGGAGGCAGGCAGGAGAGGTTAGGGGATATTTGAGAGAAGCACTTGGGGAGGAAGGTAGAGACCAGATCAGTGAAGGTGCTGTGTGCCATGTTCCCCAGGTTGGAGGCAGATTTGAAGAAATGTCAAGCAGTGGAAAGCTGAGAATGCTCACTCTGGCATTCTGAGAATGCCAGGGGAATGATGTGTGGATGGAGCACAGTTATGTGCGAGAGAGGATGGTGTCTGATCCTGGAGAGTGGCAGTGGCAGTGGGGTGGCACAGGAGTGGGCTGACACCAGAGAGATTTAGAAAGTAGATTCAAATGACAGTGTCAATTTTGGGACATGAGCGTTTGGAGGGGGAAGAGGGAATTACAGAGACCCCCTGAATTTTGCCTAACATGTTTGCTGTTCACTGGTATATTATTGATGATGATCAATTTCCCATCACTGTAATAATGCTATATAGCAATCAGTTAAAATATCTCGGTACTATATATTAACAAGCCCTTATATACTTTGAACATTTATAAAGTTCAAGTAATCTTGGCTGGATTAAACTAATCTCAAGTGGATCATTTCTGGTCAGAGCAAGTGGTTGCCATGTGGACTTTGTGTTCTCGCTGGATGGGAGTCGAATGGTTGGTCTAGAGTGGCTCCAGCTGGGTGGCAGGCAATGTTCCACACATCTCATCTTGTCCGACTCACAGAAACAGCAGAAGGCTCAGTTGTGCAAGCACTTTCCAAACGTCTGCTTGTGCCACATGTACTGATTTCTATGTGGCCACATCGTCACATGATCTATCCAAGAATCAGAGTGGAATGGCACCACAAAGTGATGTGGTAAATGACAAGGTGGATATACAGAAAGACAACTGCCTAGATCTTTATTTGTAGTCAATCTAGGAAACACAGGGCAAAAATAGGAGTCCTGTTATGTATTTTAACTTTGAAGTACATAGTAGAAATTGTAACCTATGGGGCTATGGATAGGAAGAAAAGGAATTTGGGAGACAGAATTGCTTAATTGACATAATTTTTGATGCAATCTAAAAAGAGAAGCAATGGGGGTGGGGGGAGTCAGGGCGACCTTGTGACATGAGAAGAATGAAGCTTCCAGGATAATACAAGGGGTACCCTCCCACTGGAATTTTTTCAAAGCCATGTATTTAAATTCTTTTGCAAAACAACTTTATCACCTTTCAAGTACTCTCCATTACACTTAATACATTTGTCTAATCTGTGATTTCATTTTTGGAAACATTTTTCCCAACTCATCTCTTTGCATGGCTTGACAGCACCTTCCTCGTTTTTCCCTTCACTTCTGCATTGTGGAAACAAAAAGAAGTCACACAGAACGAGGTTAGGTGAATGGGACAAGAGAGGCATGCTGTTTTTTACCCAAAACTGGTGCACTGAGATGGCTCGTGAGCAGGTGCATTGTTGTGGTGGCAAAACCAGTGCCCCGTCTGCCACAAATCAAGCCTTTTCTGTCACACCACTCCTATGCTTGAGTTTATTCCATAGCACTGTCCTTGTAAGCTGTGTTCAATGTCACAACAGTTGCTGGTGCATTTTTCGCAAGCAAGAAACAAAATTTCACAGCTTCACATGGTTCTCTTCAATCAGCCATCACCGAAAACCAGGTTTGAGTGAAACTGTCTTTAAGAAAAAATTCACTGTGCCCATAGAGAACCTTCCCAGGTGATGTCACTGGGTGCACTAACTCAGAACTTGTTGTTCAATGCTTGCCTACTGGGAAAAATACATACTATGAAAGCTTGGTTCTGCCCAGTGAAATTTCAGGTTTTTTGGGGGTACCCCTCATACCCTGGATCTTCATCTGCTCTTAAGGTGTAGTGGGAAGAGAAGTAAAGCTGAGGCTTGGCAGAGTGATCTGAGAGATGACACATCAGGCAACAAGGAGTGGGACTAAGCCGAGACAGAGCTGGTTCCAGAGGAAGTCAGCAGCGTCACACGCTGAAAGGAGACTGATTCCTTAGGGCTGAGGGCTGCAGGGTGACTTCTGGACTGCCAGTAGCAGCTGTTGGTAATTCTCCAAGAATACTGGTAGTTCTCCAAGAATGGAATAACAGGAGAAGCCACACTACTGGGATTTTGAAGTATGTGATAGGTGTTCCTGGGTTATAAAGTTCACTGTTGTAAGAACGGTGGGAGGAGCCTACAAACATGTTTACAAGTTTAGGAAAAGAAGTAGGTGGAGGGGAAGAGATTAGCAAGAAGACTGAAGCAGAGAGATGACAGAGAGAAGAGAAGAGAAGAGAAGGGAGATGAGATGATACTTTATAAAACCAAGCTTCAGACGAGATGTTGAAAGACCTGTAGTGCGGTTTCCTCTCACTTCAGGCCAGTCAAATGAGAGGTCAGTTTGAATGAAGGCGAGTTAAAACAAAAACAGAAGAACGAATTCTACAAATCTTTTTATTTCAAATATTCCCTACCTACAGTAAGTACACCAAAGACTTTCAACAAAATTTACAATCGGCTCTCTTCACAGTTGCAGCCTCTGAAACCCACAGAGGCGGTTCTGCGCTGCCCTCTGGGGCTGCTATAAATCAGAATAGACTCCGTGGGAGGTCGTTGGTTGGTAGGAGGAGGAGAGTGGGGTCTGGGCCACTAGCTTTGCTACCACTAGGGGCGGCCTAGTCCAACTAAAAGCTCTCTACTGACACACCTGCTGCTGCTCCAGGGAGCAAGGTGTCTCCCGGTGAGTTTTAAGGCCAGGGTCTGGGCCTGCCCCTGGGTCAAGGTGCCCCTTGGGCTCTCCAGCTTCCCTTCCGCAGGTGTGGGCTCCGCCCCTCAGGTGCACATCGACGGGCCGGAGGAAGGTGGGGTCCGCGTGGTGTGCACGGCCTCCGGGTGGTTTCCGAAGCCCCAGGTGCAGTGGAGAGACCCCAGTGAAGGGAAGCGCTTGGCTTTCTCTGAGACCCACGTCCAAGATGCTGACGGGCTGTTCCGCGTGGAGGCCTCGCTGGTGCTGAGAGACAGCTCTGTGCAGAATGTGACCTGCTCCTTCCGCAACCCCGTCTTAGACCAGGAGAAGGTGAAGGCCATTTTCATCCCAGGTCAGTGCTGTTCCTGTTCTGGGCTGCGGTAAAGGGGTCCTTGACTGTGCTGGGCTGTCCTGGCCGGAGTGTACCCTAACTGGGGCTTTGGTTTGGCCCCAGAGCCTTTCTTTCCAAAGGCCTCTCCTTGGAAGGTAGCTTCTGCAGTGACTCTGACCGTGCTGGGGCTCCTGGTGGCTGGGGCTGCTTATCTTCTCTACAAGGAACATTCAGCAAAGCAGCAGGCAAAGAAGAGACAGCAGGCTCTTCAGCTGGCTGAGACGGAGGACAGGAAGGAAACACAAGAGTTCAAAGAGCTCATAGGTAAGTCAGGGGAAGGGTCAGGTGCATAGGTAAGCCAGGGGAAGGGCCAGGCACATAGGTAGTCAGGGGAAGGGCCAGGCACATAGGTAAGGCAGGGGAAGGGCCAGGCGCCTAGGTAAGGCAGGGGAAGGGCCAGGTGCATAGGTAAGGCAGGGGAAGGGCCAGGAGCATAGGTAAGGCAGGGGAAGGGCCAGGGGCATAGGTAAGGCAGGGGAAGGGCCAGGCTGGGTGAGGGAGGAGGCGGTGCTGAGAGAAAGCTGACAGCAGGCTCAGCATTGGGGCTGTGGCGTCCAGAGACCACAGGGCCTCTGCCCTGAGCCGAGATCCTGAGAGGGCCACTGGGGCCCTGGAAGTGTGGATGATTCTAGAAGGGGAGTCTCTCCAGGCTACAGAGGAGGTCAATGTGTGGGTTCTCAGCTCACCATCTTTTCTTTTCTTAGAGATGGAATTTCATGCTTTTTCCTTTCTTTCAGACGGACTCCGGGCAGAGCTGGGTGAGTCCTCCCTTCTGAGCGCTCAGGGTCCAGTGTGGGGAAGACACTGGCAGTGAGCGCTCCTCTTTGCTGTGTGTTGCCTTTCAGAAAGGAGGAAGGCGGTTTACCAGGCTGGTGAGTGAGTCTCCAGTCACCCCTGGGTCTCCCAGCCCCGCTGAGCCCAAGTGGGATGTCCCCTCTCCCCGTGTCTCTCTGGCATAGACAGAAGGACTCTATTTCCTAAAGTGGAAGGTGGTGGGAGGAGGAATCCCAACCTGGGGCTGTCCTGGATATGAGGCTCTGCTTCCTTCCCAGTGCTGGGACCTGAAATCTGCCCTGCTCCTGGGTCTTCTCTTGTCAGCTCGGCCAGTGCACCCTAATGTTAGTGCTCTAGCCTCCAGAGCAGCCGGATCTCAGTCTGCACCTGGAAGCCAAAAGGATAGGGATGTCATAAAAGGAGCTGTTTAAATAAATGAGACCATTAATTTATGGCCTCAGGATGTGTCCTCCCAGCCTCCCAGAATCCTCTTCTCTGGGAGTGTCAGTTCACAGAGGACTCGGATGAATACGTTGGGAAATGTGCTGAGTCAACATCTCCCCAGAGTAGACATGTGTCTATCTCCAGAAAAAGAAAAACAACACCAAATGGTAGTCCACCTTTACCCTGGAGTTGGCTGTCTATTTTGTTCTTTTTTTATTCCCCCTCTCTATGTGGTAAGTTTCTAGATATTTATTTCCCAGAAAAAGAATGGACGTAACAATACTTTCTTATAATTAGGAACTCACTTAAATTTGAGTAGTTAAAAATCACTTCACACTGCTCTGTGATTCTTAGGGGACGGTAGAACAGGAGAGTTGAGGGTACTGGGGCACAGAAGAGGTAAGAGACTTGTACAAACTCCCACAACAATAGCAGGACAGTGCGCAGCTTGAAGAGCAATGCTGGCCTCTGGACTGGTGGCCACAGAGATTTCCCATCATCCCAGGTCAGTGATGCCCACGGCAGGAGCTCATCGCCTTCCCAGCATCTGTCTCCCTCTGTGTAGACACTCCTGTAGGAGAGAGGGGAGGATGAGGCCACTGGATTCATGTTGATTCTGACTGTAGTCTCACCAGAGGTGTGTTCCCTTTCAGCCTGGAGTAAGGCCCAGCTGTATGCAGGTAAGCGTCGTCATTGTTTCCTGTGGCCTTAAGTCTCTCAGCCCCAGGGGTTTCTGTCTTTGACCTGCTCTTCCTTTGTACGTGCACCCCACACCAGGATAGACTAGTAGAACACCTGCTCACTTGTCCCTTTGGACACCTCTCTTTGGATATTATCAGGAGGGGTCAGTCCCTGGAAAAGGACATCATGCTTGGTAACTTGGAGACCCAGCGGCTCTCCAACAAGAAGGATGGACACAATGGCTGCAACAATGGGCTCAAACCTAGCAGTGAGCATGCGCATGAGCTAGGACTGGGCAGTGACTTTTTGTATGTCGGTTCAGTAGGAGCGAGAACGGATTCAACCGCACCGAAGTACAGTGAACCCTCGTTTATCGCGGTTCATCGGTTCTAGACCCTACCATGATAAATGAAATTCCACGAAGTAGGATTCCTTATTTGTAAATCAAATATTTTTGTAGTTAGAGCATAGAGGACATGAAAAAACACCCTTTAGTCACCATTACACTCGTATTACCCAATTTATTAAACGAAAAAGGGAAAATGCAGTAAAACATTTTGGACGTTACAGTTATCATTTATTATTTATTATATTATGAAGTACAACGGATGGAGCGAACGGAAGACTCATTCAAGTCGAAATGGCATGCAACCTCCACGATTTTCTTGCCATCTTAGATCAGATCCAAAAGTTTGACCTTTTCCTGGATGGTGAGCATCTTCCTCTGGCGCTTATTTTTATTGTCAGAAGGCTTAGAAGAAGCAGCTCATTTAGGAGCCATCATAGGGCTTAGATAAAATTTCTTAAAAATCGAAATCAATTACAGTACACTGTACAGAAGCAAAAATGCATCTGATACGTAGCTCCGATACATAGCGATACAGACAGAAGCGTGTACAGTATGAGCCAATCAGTGGCAGTAATGACAGAGCATGCGCTGTTACGCAAAAACCGCGATAGAGTGAAGCCCCGGAAGTCGAAGCGCGAAGTGGCGAGGGTTCACTGTACAGCAATAATAACGCTCAGATTGCAGCAACCCCTCCTGTTGGCTTTCTCGACCGCAGGCCACTGTTAGCAAGTCCTCTGAAAACGCGTTGTTCACCAGATCCTTCTATTAATGTTATCAGTGACAATGGAGAGTCCAAATCTCAAGGACAGGATTTAGAATTTCAGAATCAAAGGTTTCCCCCCAATTCCCTTCCCTTTCCCCCCTCATTCTTCTTTAGTTATTTCCAGCAATTATGAAAACTAAGGTCTTTATGAAACACAAGCAAAACAAAACTCATGTTTCTCTAAGCGGTCACATGGGTCAGCCTGGCCATTGTATCTGAACTTCTTTCTATCAAGCCTATCAACAGAGACAGAAATGCCAGTACTTATAGAACTGGATGAACCTATACAGTAGAGATGGTGACCATAGGTTTACATATTTTTGTGTGCAAGAAACATAGCATTTACTTACGTCTAAACATGATAAAATCTTGTTCCTTAGTCCTGGGGAGGTGTGGCATAATTCCTCAGAAACAAAGTTAAAACCATGCTGGAGATTTGTTATTCCATTATATAATCCATGAATTGACTCTGGGTGTTGTACCTGAGGATAGACATGATGGGATTTTTATAGTTTAAGGAACAAAGGAAGCCAGGAAAATCTAAACAGTTTCATGAATCATATGTTCATAAGAATAGCTCTTGAAATCCTTTCTTTCTCAGAAATGTGTTTGGCTAAGAGGCCAAATGTCTGAGGGATTAGTATCTGCCGATGTCAGTTAGTGTGGAATGTAGGTTGTTGTAAGAGTTCTAGTGGAATATAAACTTAAAGAAACAAGCTAGTAGTAGCTCTAAAGTTTAAGTTACTTAGCTTAAATATTTGCCCTGTAGAAGCTCTGTTCTCCAGACTTGATAGAAATGTCCTCAGTTTCCACATTTTGTTTCAGTCTCTACCAAGACTTCTAGCCTCCCTAACTTCTCCCCTTTATCCAGCGTCTGTTAGCTGGAATGATATTTCTTCTGCAAGGACCTCAGCCAGTTATCAGTATATCAAAAGGCACAAAATTACATACAGTTTTCATTAAACATTTTATATTTGTTTTTCAACCAGTTTTATTGGGACATGATCCACATATCAGAAAATTCAATAGTTCAATCGTATTATATTCTTGCTGAAAAATGTGGGTGGTTAAAGTTTTAGTTTCTTACCATTGACCTACAGGGCTAGTAGGCTTAAGTAAACAGCATTCCAAAGAAGTTCAATAGCTAATTTACAATAACAGCAAAAGCAAAACAAAACATTTTGTAATCGTAAAAGTAGACATAAAGATGAATGGAAAGAAACAAAAGAAAGTTAATATTTTATTTCATCATTTCCCTGAGATCCAAATAAGTTAGTTAGAATTTCCAATAAAAAGGGATCAGGATCGTTGAGATTTGACAGCGTGTGTTGCATAGGGAGCCTGGTGGCATTGGGTCCTAAAGCAGGCTCTTATCTATTTGAGGTTTCCCCAATATTTGAAAAATAAACTTGAGCATTAATTAACACTAATTAATCATTTAGTAATTAATCAATCAATTACTAATTATTGAGTATTGAGTAATTATTATTGATGATCTATTATAATTAAGTTGATCTAGTTAGCATTGGGTTACGAACAATATTCAAATATGCCAGCAGCTCCACTGGAAAAAGATGAGTCTTCCTGCTCTTCTAATGATTTAGAGTCTCGGGAACCTTTTATAAGATTGCCATGTGTTGGAATCGACTTGCTGGGAGTGGTTTGTATGTAGCGTGTATGGCCGTGTTGGCTGTGTGTGTCTGTAGGGTGGGGTGGGGGTGGGGTTGCATGTGGGAAACATGAAGAATGCTGTTATCAGGGATAGCTTCTCCTTTAGTAATTTGTATCAAGGTGGATTCATTAGTAAACGTCTGGAATCCATATCTAAGAATAACAGAACAAACCATCCTAAAAATCCTTGGTTTTAGGAGGCGAGAAGTTTTAGGAGGTGGGAAGCTGAGGATGGCTGTGTTTTGGTTGGGGTCTAATGCAACACCTTCAGCAGAAAGGTGACCCCCAATATTTGACCTGGGTAGAGACCCGCTGGAGTGTTCCTTTAGAAGCCGTAGATGCTTTATGGACACTCTGGGTAAGTGAAGACAGGCTGCCAGAAGTACAATCAGTTTAAGCTGCAGGGCAACGCAGCATCCACATATTGTGCAAGATCTGCTTTGTTAGAAAGGTCCTTGGACCACCTGTCATGGAGCAGATAGATGGTGAGGGACAGTTGTCCTGACATGACCCAATGTGTCACCCAGACTACTTCCAGTTAATAATAGCTGGTGGTTAAATCCTGTATGGAGCGGAGTATCACTAGTTATTGCTCTTAAATTTTGAACAAATATTTCATCTCCATTATTAGGTTTTTGCCCCAGGAATGCAGGAATGTTATATCAATCCCTTCTGAAAGAAGCTCTTACTAATGGACTGTAGCCCTTTTATGATCTCAGGTGTAAGATGGGATTGAAGAGTTTTAGGCAGTTCTTGATCTGGTGAGATTTGCACTTGACTGTACGTGGCAGATTTAACTGACTCAATGGCAATGAGGAAGTTTTGTTTATTGAATTAATGATACACAGTGGGAATGGGCAGAATCCTGGTGGCACAATGGGTTAAGATCTGAGCTGCTAACTGTAAAGCCAGTAGTTCAAACTCACCAGGAGAAAGATGAGGCTGTCTGCTCCCAGATTTATGGTCTCAGAAAGTCTGTGGGGCAGTTCTGCTGTGTCCTCTAGGCTTGCTATGATTAGGAAGCAACTTGAGGGCAATGGGTTTGGGATGGGGAGGGGACACATGGATGGCAACATATTCATGGGTTCTGGGGTTTAGGATATAGACATCTTTGAGGGCCAGTATTCTCTTTGTCACAATCGGACTTCTTCTGGAAGTGTGCGATATTTGGGATATCTTTGGATAAAGCACATGACTAGGTCCAGGGTTCTTGGATTTCCTGTGGCTCTGTGGGTGTTTGCTGTCACTGCACTATGAAAAAAACAAAACAAAATAAGCCGTTAGTGTCTCACCTCTTACTGTATGTATTTGCTACTCTGAACTTCTCTTTCTTCTTCCCCTGAACATTTACCATTGCTTTTAAAATTGGGTTAGTTTCTGTTATATCTTGAATTCTCTTTCCTCATGACTTATAGTCATTTCGTAAGCTCAGCCAGTTGTAATTCTGCATTTCAAATTTAGCTTCATCAGTTCTTGATAAGCAAATACAGGACTGGGAAGTGCTGAGCTCAGTTCTTTCTGCACAAAGACTAGGTTTCCGTGTAGTTTCCCCGGTAAGCATCGAGGGAGCTTAATTTGCTAGCCAAACCTTCACAAATGGCTTTTTTGTTCAGGTAGGCATTCAGCCTCTCCACCATCGGGTGTTTAGCCCCACGGCTTAGCCTTCTTGGGAAGTTTGCAAGGCTTCACGGGAAGGTGAATGTTGTGGGTATGTGTGAGAAAAAGAGACATAAACACATGAGTTTAATATTTCTAACACCCCTCCTCCCACCCCCTGTATCTCTTGCATCACAATTTGTCAGAAAAGTTGCTCGTTCTGATGTGGGGAGTCTCGCATTTTTCTGACATGGAATCTGTGGTTCTTTCGTAGATTGGCGGAAGGAGAAGTTCCCGGCCTGTGAGTGACTCGATTGTTCTTTCTGGAAGCTCCTCTTACCTGCTTCAGGGTTCTACCATCTCTTTCGGTTCCCTTTGATGATACAGAGGAAGGCATCCCTGATGGTGGCAGGGCGGGCGTTGGAGGGGATAATCATGTAGCTGGGGCTGGATGGAGGGCATGGCTGATGTGGGCTGCTCCTTAGATTTTCCCGAGTCCCTGGATTCAGACTAGTCCTCACAGGAACTGTGATCAATCGAACCCCATAATCAGTCTTTTAGGTTGCTTCCTCTTCGGGGGCTGTGGCATTGAGTCTCCAGCTCTTAGTTCATGCCACTAATTAGGTCTTAGGGACGTTGATTTTGTGTTCGTGTTATGGGGGAGGGGAGGGGTTTGCATAATTTGGTAACTCTCTTTACAGGCTCTGTCACGTTGAATCTACCTTCTGCTCATCCCAACCTTGTGCTCTCTCAGGAAAACACAAGCATCACTCTGAAGGCCCTCGGTGATGAAGTCAGCGACGAGAGATGCAGTGTGTTAGGCCTTCAGGGCATCACATCAGGGCGCTGTCACTGGGAGGTGGAGGTTAAAGAGGGAGACAGAGGTGATTGGGCCATGGGGGTCTGCAGGGAAGGTGCGGACAGGGAAGGCTGGTTCAGAGAGTGCCCAGAAAAGGGGTTCTGGGCTGTGGGACGTTTTTCAGAAGAATTTTGTGTCTGTACCATCCCTCAGACAGAGCTAACTCTTAGAGAGGTTCCCCGCAGGCTGGGGGTTTTCTTGGACCACGAAGGTGGGGATGTCTCCTTCTACAACATGACTGATGGCTCCCACGTTTTCTCCTTCTCCCAGGCTCCCTTCTCCGGGACCCTCTTCCCATATTTCATGGTTAATTCAGGACCCGTGTCCCTCACCGTCTGCTCCACGGGAGATGCGCCCCAGGGTCTTTCTAACAAATCTCCCCCCTTGGGTGGGCAGCTGAGTCCTCCGGGGGAGGGGCTGGGCTCTGGCTCTGAGGGTGATGGCGTTCTCCCAGGCCCGGAGTCTCCATTACTCTCCCGGGCCCCCCAGGCTGTCTCCCCGTAGGAACTCATCTATGTCCTTGCGCCTCCCCACGGCTCTTCCTGGAGCTGCAGGTCCCCCAAGGTGACCGGCTCTGGGCTGAGCCCTGGATGGCCCGGGAGCCAGGCTCCTGCTTGGGACGCGGATGCCCTCGAGGGTGTGGGCTCTGAGAGCCGTCAGTTCATGTCTGTGCCCCTCTCACAAGGAAAGGTGACTTTCGTCTGAGCTGGGGGAGTGCAGGCAGCATTTACCAGTGGGAGGCTGTTTTATTTGGCATTGAGAAATAGTTTATGAATATTTTATACTGCTTGTATATGAAGGGAGAGGTGCTGAATCCCTCGCAGTGTCTAGAAAACTCTCTGCTATCAAGTGGATTCTGGCTCATAGCGAGCCTAGCTTTTGCTTTACCCAACTTGTTTTTGTGGCATACAGGGTGCTAGCTCCACTGGGAAAGGTCTGGGTAATCTCATCAGAAAATATACATCTCCAAAAGACTTCAGGGAAATGGTTGGCGATGGACTTTTAAAATGAGAGAACTCTAACATATGTGTCATATACTTATTTTTGGACAGTTAAAAAAAACTTATATTCCCTCAAATCTTCTGTAAGGTTCTGTTCTCCATGAGCACATCGTGCTGTGTTATTTCAGGAAATTAAGACAAATCTGGGTTCCTCTTTTGGTCAAAGAAGAGAAATATTAGAAAAAGCTAGATGTAAATGGACAAGAGAAATTTTAGGAACAGGGCATTGCGTAGACCATCAACACGAACATCGTCTCAATTATCAGTGAATTTCCTCTTCATCTGACAGGGAGAGGAAATGGAAAAGCCCATCAATCAGTCCGGGATGGGACTGTTGAATATTGAGCGCCTTCATGGATGAAGGTGTAGTCACTCCATCAAAGCACCGGGGGTTCTAGCTGTGAGCGAGGAAGGAATGAATGGAGAGAAACAGAAAGATATCAACTCAAGTTTTATAACCAGTGGCAGGTGCAAGGAGAATGAATAGATTTTCAGACTTTATCTTCAATTCTCAGGCATGTCTTTATTTCTATTATAAACCATTTTAATTCTCTCCCATTATTACTTTATATCCAAATTATTGGAGGTCACTTTTGTCCCAGAGACCCTAACAGGATATCTGTTGGAACTCTCACTGAATTTAAGGAGTAAATAGTATAGCGGTGAGGGGTGCAATGATTGGAACTTTTCTGGACAAAGGGTGAGAACTTCACTCGGAAGGATTGCTTTTTTCTTGATAGTGAAAGCAAAGAGCATTGTGGCACGAAGATCAAATGAGTGCAAAATGGTGGCTATGGAAGCTGAGTAGCCAAAGGGGTAGAGTGAGTCCATTATTAATATAGAGCCACTCAGCTGCACGTTGACCGTGGCCTTGCCCTGCTTCCTGAAACAGCAGCTGCACTCGGTAAACACGTCTTCTTTGCTAACGGGCACAATGTTAGGCCTTGCAAGGACGCCGGAGGTACAGTGTGAAACAGCAGAGGAACGGCTTCTTTCCTTGGTGCTGGGCCTTTCTTGTTAATCCCTGTGTGAGGTGAGGGCCAGCGGTGTGCAGAACGTGCAATTTCCCTCACTTTTTGGTGAATTTGGCTATTGTTGCAGCATGATGCCCGGGACATTTGCTGCCACTCTGAGGGAAGCTTCCCAGGGAGACTTGGGGGGTTCTCCAGACTTGGCCTGTGGTGTGTTAACACACCTTTTGTCATCCAGTGGGCTCTGGTCCCTCTCTGTGAATGTTACTGTTATCAGGTGCCCTCTCCTAAATTTATTTTTTCCTTGGGTCCTCCACCTCAGCTCTAGACGTAGTGGATGCTCTCTCTGGGTTCTTTAGAGCTTTGTAGAGCTTTTTAGAGCTCTCTAGTAGTTAAGAACCCGTTGGTAGTACCATGTTTTACACTTAATGGTTGTTTAGCAGTATGCTGTTAAAGGTCCACATATTTTGTATGTTCTGCTTTTCTTTCTATTAAGTATTGTTGTCACTCCATTGTGGTCAGAAAATATACTGGATAGGATTTCAATCTTTTAAACGGTATTGATACTAGCTTGATGCCCTAAGATACATTCTGTGGTGGCGAATGATCTATGTGCACTGGAGAGAATGTAAATTTTGCTGTTATTTGAAAAAAAAATTTATGTGGTGGTTCTCTTTTTTCAAATGTTCGATGTGGTTTCTGTCTCATTGGATGTAAACCTGTAACTATAATGTCACTTCAGGGCAGGCGCCGAACTTTCCACAGTATGTGAGAGAAGGCACCGAAGCACTTACTCACGTCTTAAAATGTTTCACTCTCACAATAATGTCTTGGGCAATATAGTCAATGGGGTCCTTGTTGAGTTTTAGGTACGTTTATGTGTTCGTATAAGGAGCCCTTGTGGCATAATGGTAAATGGAAACGCCTTCATGGTGCTCTGTGGGAGAAAAGTTCAGCAGTCTGCTCCTGTAAGTATTACAGCCTTAGGACGCCCTATGGGGCAGTTGTACTGTGTCATTAGGTTTGCTGTGAGTAGGCATTGATTGGGTGACACAAAATTGCAGCAGCTGTTGCAGCCACAACAAGAACATTAGTTACTATAAGGTTCCTTGGCGGGGTAAATATTTTACGTTGGATGCTTAACTAATGGTTGGAGAATAGAACCCACCCAGCAATCCCATCGAGAAAAGCCTTCAGAATCTGCTTCCAGGAAGATCACAGACAGGAAGCACCTATAGACTAGTTCTATAGATGGGGTCATCGTGAATCAATCAACTCAACAACAACTAACTATAACATCAAGTGTCAATCTATTTTCTGCCACATCGATCCCCTTTCCATGTAGGTTGAACCTTTATGACACTAGACTGCTTTTAGAGGGACTGTATGGTTGCTATGGGTTGGAACAGACTCGACAACATGGGTATTGTCCTTTGAAATATATAAGAAAGGTATGCAGATGGTATGATTATATCCACATGCATATGAGTGATATTTTTAGACAAGTGATCGATTGCCTAAGTAATTCCTAAAAAAGTTAAAGTCCTCAGTAATGGTAGAGATTGTCAGAATCTACTGATTTATATATTCCCTATATGTGGGTTCATCTTGGTTATATTTATTATAGTTTAAAATAATTATTGCTGTTGAAAGCATGTAAATTAAATATAGATAAACAAATCTTATTTCCCAGACAGCTATAACTGACTCCATAGTCTATGGTATAAACTTTCTGAATCTAAATCTCCTGTTTATCTTTGGCTGCATTATTGAGCTCACAGTATAGCTTGAAGAATCTCTCTTGGCTCCTCTCTTCAGGCTGTTTCTGTAAGCTCCTCAAAGTTCACCATCTCAAATTTAGGGGTACAAACTAACCCCCCAGATCATGAATCCATTTCTCTGGTCACTTAGAATGTTTGTTGAAGGTTCTTGTTTTAACAGTACCCCCTTTCAGTGGTTGTTTCATGTTTCTTTCCCCCCTTACCCTTTTTAAAAGAACCATTTAATTGGGAGTTAATACAGCTATATTATTCCATAATTCAATCACATAAAGCAGCGTTGTATAATTGCTACCCCAATCAGCTTCAAATATTCTTTTCCTTCCAGAGCTCCTTGACATCAGCTCCCTTTTACCACCCCACCCCCAGCACCACTGTACATGCTCCCCCCACCCCCACCCTTATTCGACTTGCTGTTCCTATAGGTTCATCAATCCTGGGTTTTATATTCTGAAAAACAGAAAAATATATTAAAAAATTCAATAGGGTCTTCCCCAATGACATAACGCATTAGAAATAAACTCAACTCGAACAACACCCCCCCCCCACACACACCCCGAATACAGAAAATGTTGGAAACCAGATCAGTGTGTCAGAGGGGGATCAAATGACAAGGTTTTAACTGTTCAAGTCAGGTTTATCCTTTTGATCTTCTGTAGTCATCTCACCAACGCAGTCTGATTAGTAACCACTTTCCTCCCATCCCTCAATTAAGCATTGAGGGAAATCACTGGAGGCTTATTTCCTATGTAGATCCCAAGTCATTGATAGCCTTCTGCAAACTAGATTCTCACCAATTAAGCTCTGATAGTATTCCCTCCTTCAACGTCACATTATATGATTTACAATCCTTTGGTGACTGATGATGGTGTGCTTCTTCCATGTGGATTTAGTTGACATCACATTTAGATGCCTGCTTGTTTGGAAACAAGCCTTTACGACCCCAGAAACTATTTTATCTGATAGCCGGGCACCATCTAATTTCTTCACCACACTTTGCTATAGCATCTATATCTTCTGTGCTCCCTTCCTGACGGCAAGTATCAAGCAGGGTCATGATGTATGAACTAGTTGTTCTTGAGTTGAAGCTAGGATTTAGTATGAGTCCCAAACCCATTCCTGGATCTGAAAAATTTTTTAAAAATTAAAAAAAAAATTTATTGGTTTTTAATCTGCCTTTGGCTCCTTTTCAAAACCTCCTTGTTAATTTATGATAGAGAGCCTTATTGATCATCCCCCTGGGGCATAACTATCTTCTGTTAATATTGTCTTTGATTAGCTCCGTGGTACTAATATTTTAAAGCCCTGTTGAGAGAGGGATATTTGGCCAATGTAGGCTAACACCATATTACAGAATGTGAATGATTCACTGAGGTGGTTACATAATCTAGTGTCAACTTGATAAATAGAGTGAAGGGGTCGAGTCTAGCCTTTCAGTCGGGTCACAGCCTGATGGTACCTCCTTGTGTGCATGGCCTTCTCATAAGGAAGGTCTTGGGAACTTCCCCCCACTCCCCTCTGCCTTCACCTTCCTGTTGAGGAGCCACGCCAAGACCTATGGATGCCCTGGAGATGCGTCCACTGCCAGTGGATCCACAAGACTTTGTATCCCCCCTCCCCCGGCTGGTGATGTTCCTGCATTTTGCATCATTGCCCATGTGGCTTCATGAGTCTGAAAAGGGACTTATGAGCTAGTATTGGACTTATGGACTTGAGTTGGACTGGGCCAGGCTGTTTTCTTGATATACAGTTCC